TATGAAACCAATTAAGGCGTAACAGTTCTTTGATCTTGCACAGGAATTGTTGCTACAAAGACCCGTTTTTGAGACAAATGTGGGGGACTGCATATTTCTGGGGGACTGGAACCTTTGCCCACGCAGTTCATTCTTAATTTTGGAAAAGTGAAAAAAAAGTCATTAGGACTTAGAGTCGGGACTGTATGGAGGACGATCGATCGGTGTTCTTTCCCCATTAAAATGATGATAAATACTTAGGCGGTCTGGACTTTTTTGCTTTTAAAAACATAATAATATGGTAAATTTGAAGCTGTGGTGGAGAACTTGTATTCAACGTTGAGGAATGGTTTTTTTGGATTTACTTCCGGCAAACAAATAGATATGTACCAATCGTCAGTAACAGTTCTTTTGATTTTGCACAGGAATTGTTGCCATATGACCCGCTTTTTGAAACAAATGTCACCACCATCTTTTTGGAAACACTTCGAGGATGGATAATCTTCGTCGGTTTTTGATTCATCTCAACACCCAAACTGCCGATTGGCGTTTCGGTGTTAAATTGGCGGTGTTTATAACCAAGCGATCAGGTAGCTATTAAACCACAGAATAAGCTACAGAATGATCAACCAACGTAATAAAGAGAACAGTTTTTGCTGCAATCTATTGAGGGTTGTCTTTTTATATTTTTGCATATAGAGGTAGAAAAAAAAAATAGTAGATAACTTTAAACACTACTGAGGATTTTTGAAGTATTCTTGCTGAAGAGAAACATATTTTTTGCATCCGATGAAACCAATTCTGAACGTAGATATTCCAGGCGCTTGTTGGTACCTTCAAAGTTGCGTTTTTGAAGGCGCTAACTGCACATCTTTAGGGGACCTGAACCTTTGACCCACGCAGTTCATTTCTTAATTTTTGGAAAATAAAATAGTCCATTAGGACTTAGGTCGGGACTGTATGGTGCGATCAATCAGTGTTTTTTTATCTAATTAAAAATGGTAAAATCTTTGTGGGAAAGGGCTGTGTGGGAAGTTTTGTCTTGGTGGCGAACCATTCTGACGTTTAGGGTTGGAGTTTTTTAGAACTTAGCAATTAGTTCCGGCGCGCATAGATATGTAACCAAACAGGCGTAACAACAGTATTTTGATTTTTGTACAAGAACGTGTTGCTACATGATCCGCATTTTTTTTCGTTTGTAATAATGTGCCACCATATATTTGGAAAAACTGTAGTAATGACGGATAACCTTCCAGTATACAAACTCTTCAGAGATTTCCAAGTTTTCCTCGCTAAATATGCTCCCAGAGGTAAAAGGTACCAGTTAGAGACAATAAGAAGCGAACTACTTGTTTTGCAACTAATGCAACAAATTTGTTCACTTAAAAACTACGGTGATAAGTAGTCCAGTTGTATTACCAGTAGATATCTACCTATAAAAGACTAAAAATTTAGAATGATCTATTTATCTTTTCAGTGGTTAAAAATATTTTTTTTGTTAAGATATTTAAAAGGTTCTGTTTATTTTATTTTATTAGTTGGCAAAGTTATATTTTTTATTTTGAATACTAAAAATCCTTCGGTCTGTTCCTTTTTATAATTCGTTTAAGCTTTTTATGTGTTAACAAAGTAAACTCCAAATGCCGCGGCTCGTGACGCGCTAACAAGGTAAGGTACAAAGTACGTCTGCTGGATCTGTGTCTATGAAAGGAATGCGGACAAAAAACATTTAAATAAACAACAATATATTTTATTCGTCGACTTAACGAGTACGTCACTGCAAATCGCTCCGCCTACTCATTTTATTGGCTACTTGCAAATTTGTCGAATTTTTATTGATGGGACGCGTCGTCTATTTTTTTACGAAGAACATCGAGAGAATATCGTTCCCCTCTCACGGATACCCCCGTAGCGGACAGACGTACTGTATACTGCGTATAAAAATATAATGGGTTAAGGTGCGATAGAATATAGTTTATATTGGCCATTGACCGGGTCAAATAATAAAGATTTGGCTGATGGAATTTCTAAAAGTTGTAGCGCCTATGGTTTGCGATGTTTTATGGCCCCATCTCTCTAGCTGTGCTATCAGGCATCTAGAAATAGACTGTAGGACCCAATGGGAATATTTAAGGCGGTCAAAAGTTCTGTTTGAATAATCAAAACTTTGATTTTAAAACATTTATTAATTTTATTTATTTTCAAATCAAATTAACTTAAAAAAGTTGACGATCCATGTTTTTGCCTAGGAGTGTACATATGCCCGGCTTTTTCTGAATATTGGTGTTATCTCTCTGTGTTTTTTGAGCCGTCCGAATTTCTGTTTTATTGTATGGGCATTATTTTGTATCAATATATAAATAATGTTTGTCCAACAAAGACTATTTTTGACAAAGGTAATTTGTAATTTGTTATTGGTATGTTTGTGTGTTAATTAATTTTGTTCTTTGTGCTGTACTATTTAGGGTGAGTCTGAAATAAGTGCATATATTTTTAGGACTGGTAGATATCGGTAAAAAAAACATATTTGCTCTTTACCATTTTTCAACTAAGTCAAAAATAACCAAGATATTTTACTTTGAAAATTTGAAAAAATTGATTTTTCCCTTAAATTTAGAGAAAAGTTTTGCGAAACCTCATAAACGTGTTTCTGGATTCGAAATATACTCGTCTATATATACGTCCTAAAAATATATACGTCCTAAAAATATTTGCACTTATTTAAGACTCACCCTATACCTATATCCTATTTCTAGAACTTTCATTTTATTTTTTCTTATACTTTTATATATTTAAGGCATAGATAAATGAAACAAGTTTAGATTGGAATGTGCCCATAAGGACAATGTAAACACTATTTGGCGCTATTCTTGCAACGGTCGCGACCCAAAACTTTTGAAAATTTCGGAGCGGTTCGGCTTTTTCCGGAATTATATCGCCAAATATTGTTTATTCAAATTTATTATTATTTTCGTTTAATATTATAAATAAAATACAGTGTGTTGCATACAAGAAACTTTATTTTATATAAGGACGCATGTACGAAATACCTATGAAACATTGGAAACCGACGTTATGCCACGATCCACGATCGTTTTTGCAGTTCACAGTTCACAGCAGAGCTTTTTAGTTTTTAATGCCACTTTCACAATTATCACCGGTTGGAGTAAATAAAACTTGAATTAAACTCACAAGTTAGCAATAATTACTTTTGAAAATGGACGCTATAAACGCTTTTCGGAATTTCTTTAATGAGAGCGGTTTAGATTTTGAAAGATTATTATGATTTTTGAAGATTCTGACTTTGACAAGAGAAAATTATTTCTGTTTTTGTTTGCCGTTGTTCTTAGCGACCGCTATAGCAGCGCCAGATCGCGTATAACGGTCGCGACCCAAAATAATTTTGCGACCTAAAATTTTTACGGGCTTTCCAATCTAAACTTGTTGCATTTATCTATGATTTAAGGTATCAATAATGACAGATGGATGTCAGTGTTGTCGTTTGTCAATTGCTGTGCGCCTCCTTGCCTTAAAATGAGACGCAATTGAAATGTGCTCGAGAAAATTTCGCAATTATTTCCAATGTTTTAATTAATAATCAGGCGATTAATTCGCCTCAGGATAGACCATAATGTGGTTGACTGGTCAGTGATGATTTTACTGTGGAGTCTTCAATGTTTTCGCTAAGTCTATTTTTTAATGTAGTTTTTAGAGAAGGTTTTTTTGTCACGTTGATGTCCTGAGGATAGAATAAATAAATTCCGAAAGCTTGACTATTAACAAAGTGCATTAATTTTGGTCCAAACCCTTCCGACTATAACCCCACTAGTTCCTAGATGTTTTTTCTCACTAGTCTGTCGATACTACTGTCTGCTCTTAAAATATATAAAAAACAGACAGTAGTATCGACTGGAACCTTGACCACGCAGTTCATTCTTAATTTTTGGAAATGTAAAAAAGTCGTTAGGATTTAGGTCGGGACTGTATGGAGGACGGTCCAACAATTCGGTATTTTTTTTTCCTAATAAAAATGATCTAACAATATAAATTGAAGGGAAGAATACATCTTTGTGAGAAAGAGCTGTGTGGGAAGTTTGTCTTGGTGGAGAATCATTCGACGTTGAGGGTTGGTTTTTCGAAACTTAGCAATTACTTTCAGCAAACAAATAGGTATGTACCAATCAGGGGTAACAGTTCTTTGATCTCGCATAGGAATTGTTGCTACATGACCCGCCTTTGAGACAAATGACGCCACCATCTTTTTGGAAACACTTCATCTCGGAACACCCAAACTGCGATTGACGTTTATTTGGCATGTTCATAAGAGTAAATGCAGGATTTATCACCACTGACAATACTGTATATATTTTTTGAGTTTCCTGCGTTAAACTGGTGTCGATTTTTTTGACATTAATGTTCATAAGAGTAAATGCAGGATTTATCACCACTGACAATACTGTATATATTTTTTGAGTTTCCTGCGTTAAACTGGTGTCGATTTTTTTGACATTATTGACTCTTATTCCTTTCTGTTTTTCAATCAACAGATGCGGCATCCAACGAGAAACTATTTTTTACAGACAATTCTTCATGTAAAAATTTTTGTATTGAGGTCTGGAAATGTCCAATGAATGATGCTTCAATTTTACGTTGTGTGACGATCTTCTTGGGACCAACTCGGCAAGGCATTCTTGTTGAGACAAATATCTTCGAAAATAGTAAAAAAATATTGGCAGAAAATTTTCTCGGCTTAATTCAATTTATTGATTCACTCGTCAATTTCAAAAATTCAGTTAAGGTACAGCTTTAAACGAAACGATCTAAAACTTTGGCGTTAAGTTAACTAAAAATGACAGTTAATTTTGACATTTGATATGTGTTGACAGGCGCCTACTATGTTTCTAGGTAGTTTATATTTAACTGTAACATCGAGTTTATTTAATATAAATGTAGGTGGGATGCCCAGTACACTATCTTTATGGTATTGCAATTTTAATCTAATATATTTATTATAATTCTAGGAACCGGACAATGATTTCGCGGACTTGGACCAATGCGCCGCGGCTCTGGAGAAAGATGCTGCAGCCAATGGCGGGCGGGATTCGGGGATTCCCCGACCTCATCGGCGACGACACCAACGACGAAATTATGTCGTCGGCTGCGTTCAAAGACTTGATATCCGACATTAGCAACTACTCGGACTATCCCGAACTCATGAAGGAGTTCGATTTCGAGGACAAGCCTAGCGAGAATGTGAATAACATGAAGGTAATTATTATTAAGAATAAAATGGTATATTATTTTTTATCTCACTCAAGAAATATAGATCTCATTAAAAACATAGAATGTAAAAAATGCCAAGTCTCGCAACACTATTCTTCCGCTATAAAAAGTTTTGAGATCTCTTGTAAAACCAACTCAGTTTATTTTATTTAGTCTCTCTTTAAGCACCTATTTAACAATTTTGTTATAAATTAATAGTATCAATATTAGTCATCTTTATTTCTTTAACAATTATAATGATTTTTTTTATATAAAAAGTCAAATGAACAACTAACTGTCTTTGACAACGGTCTGATAATGGCTGGAATTGCCGAAACCGGTCACCAAAAAAGACTTTTTTGACAGTGGTTTGGACTTTCTGCTTGATTTTAACATTAAGTTAATTATAATGACTTGGCAATTGCACAGCACCATAATTATAAAAAAAATAATTTAACGAGTTTTAATTATAAAAAAAATATTTGTTGCGAGACATTTTTTTACATTCTATGTTTTTGATGGGATCTTATTTCGTTTTGTATGTTATCCTCCTATTTTTTTCTCGGGTAACATGTTCAAAATAATATTAAATAAGTTTGACTAGTAATAATTCATAAACTTTGGTTACAGAATTATCGTATAAAGTCAGATAATATCAAATGGATTAATTCTAGTTTTCTAACGACTTGTGTTTCCGACTTTCGTTGTAAGCTAAATATGAACTTTAAAAATGTTCAATTCGTGATTTTACCATTGCTTATTCAAAATCATGTTTTTGCCAATTTTACACATATTTTATTTTTTATCTCGAAACTATAAGAAATAGGTGTAGGTTATAATAAAAAAAATATGAGATATGAGAGTAGTTTCCAAAAATGTAATAATACAGGGTGCTACAAATTCGAGGTACGAGCATTGGTATCTCGGTAACCGTAATAGATAAGAACATGGTTAAATTGGGGCAAAGTTGCGCTTTGGGATGTTCACCAAGATGCCATTAAAAAAGTTTTAAACATTTCAAGGATTGCTGAGTTTTTTGGAAAAAACTGTTTTTTTAAATCAACTTATTTTTTCCTGTCATTACTTTTTAGAAAATCAAAAAACTAATTGCACATTCTCGTAGCCACTTTATTAGGGCTATCTGATAGTATTTTTAGATTTTCAAATTAGCTGATAATTTGTGAAATACAGAGGCCAAATTAATTTTTTTAAATACGGACCTGCATTTTTAATTTCTGATTTTGAAAGAACTCGGTCTATTGAGTTCAGTGATATGCCACACTTAATATTTTTTTTGTTTTGACATTTGAACACAATTTATTTAAACTAATTTCAAGTCTGGCCCTGTTTTTTTTAATATTTAATCTATTCATCGTTACAATATTGATTAGCATTCAAAATTAACAATGACGTGGGGTAAAACTTTGAATACGGAAAATCGAATGTAATAAAATAATATAAAATAATTAATTTAAATATAATATAATATAAACAATCAAATCATTTTCCCGGAAGATGGACTGGAAATGGTAGAGCAATATAATGTACAGCGAGGTTCCTGGGCCTATCGCCAAAGGGCTGCATTACTTTACGTCATTTGTAAAAGTGAAATCAATTCATCTCAACATTTACAATAAAGAGTACAAAATGCATTCAGAAGTATAAGAAGAAAGTTGAAAGAGCTATAAATAAAATTGAACGAAAAATAAATTTGTGCAATAGGGAGGGTGGTAAGCCTTTCGAACATGTAGAACATTAGAAACTAGTTTGTAGAAGTTGATTTATTTACAATAACTACGATTAATATTATGCATATTATTAGATCGCACACTGAGATTTCAAATTCACAATAAAAAAAGGTTAAAATAATATCTTTAAATTTCTTACGTGGATATTATTTATTGAATCTTCCAATTGGCTCCGTTTTCCATATTCAATGTTAATTAGCGCTGATCAATATTGTTGCGATAAATATAATCAGATTAAATAATTTAAGAAACCAGAGTCGGACTTGAAATTATTTTAAATATAATTAAATAGTTTTGCTGCTGTTAAGGTACCCAAAACAAAAAAAAGTATAAAGTGTGGCATGTCATTGTATTCAGGAGACCGAGTTCATTAAAAACCTTATATAAAAAATGCAGGTCCGTATTTAAAAAAAATAAGTTGGCCTCTGTATCCCACAAATTATGAGCTCATTTGAAAATCTAAAAATACTATCAGATAGCCCTAATAAAATGGCTATGAGAATGTGCAATTAGTTTTTTGATTTTCTAAAAAGTAACGACAGGAAAAAATAAATTTGATTTTCATAAAAATCAGTTTTTTCCTGCAAAAAAAAAACTCAGCAATCCTTGAAATTTTTAAAACTTTTTTGAGGCCATCTTGGTGAACATCCCAATACGCAACTTTGCCCCAATTTAACCATGGTTGTATCTATTACGGTTACCGAGATACCAATGCTCGTACCTCGAATTTGTAGCACCCTGTATAGTGGGCGTTCCATTTAAATAAACTGAAGATGCTACCACTTTTCAAATCATCCGGCAACACTGTAACGCTGATAATATTTTAGATAGATGGAGCAGGTGCCTTTATATAAAAATCCAAATTTTCAAAATTTTCAGTTCTTTCCTCGTGGGTTCTATGCTGTAATTTTTGTGGTCCATCTGATCTTTTTGTGGTCCACCGGTCCTCCTATTACCATCGCCGGAAAGTCGGTTACCGTTAGCGGCTAGACAACTAACTTTTGATTCATAAGGATATTTCCAGATTTTTCATTTTTTTTCTTTCATTATAAGCTACCTAAAATTCGAAATTTGAAGTTAGTGACACATCAGAATTACCTTATGGTGCGTTTAGACTTGAGCACGCACGCACTGATCCTCCGCTCAAGTGTAAACGGCTGTGCGCGCACGCTCACTCTGAATAGGTCTGTGCGTGGGCAGCCGCGAACGTGAGCCGTCTGGTGTCGGTTTTTGGTCCGTGCTCAAAGGGATTTTATGTGTGCGCGAACGCTCAGTTTGCACCGGCAATTTGTTTTGTCTGCGTTCGTGCGTGCGTGTGATTTTTTTTTCGTTTTCTTTATTAAAATTATGGAGTGGATCAATGAATCTTCGTTATTATTAATTGAAGAATATGAAAAGTTGCCTATATTATGAGATGTTAAACATTCTTTGTATTATTAAAAAATTAAGGCATGACAAGATCTTGTAAATAAAATTAATATTGAATATGTCGATATTAATGAAATTGCTATTTTAAAATTTGTATCTTTTGTTCGTAATTTTTGGTGTTATTAAATTTTGTAAATATTCAAAGTCTTCCATGGTCATTCTTGTAAAGTTTTTGAACTGATCATAGCCCTCCTCAGACACGAAGTTGTTGCAGTAAATTATATCGATTTCTAAAAATTTGGGTTTGCTATCAGCGACGATGTTTTCTCCTTTTTAATAATTAAGCTGTGCATAACAATGACTGCAGCCTCGACTATTTCTTGGTAGTCCATTATTTTCGCCAACACAACTCTGCTGTGCGCGCACAAATGGATCGCTTCATTCGTCGAAAAATAAGTTTTAATTTGAACGGAGCCGAGAGCGCAAACGAATGCCTTGCGCGCACGCTCAGCTCGTGCGTGCTAAAGTCTAAACGCACCATTAGAATTTTCAGTCAATGACGAAATTAAAGAAATTTGACAAGCAATAATTCATAAACTATGAGGTATAATTACTAGATATTTTATGTCTTTATGTGTAGTGAAAATTAATATTTTTGCTTTATCTACAACGAAGTTACAGGGCGGTCAAAAGTGTCACTAATACCTTCGAGAAAATGGATGGTACGGCAGTGCTTGACTTGCCCTATTGGAAATTATAGCAAATAGTGAAAATCGTAATGCCGACGGCATCTCAGAATCGCCTTGAAATATAAAATAATTGAAAAAAAATCTATCGAAAAACGACCACAACTCGGAGCTAGTTGTTATAAAAAATAGAAAATAGGTTTCATTAATATTTACTTTCAAAATTATATTATGTATATTAATACACTTTCTGTTATTACAGGCTGAGGATATCAAAGATACAGTACCCACGCAGCCTGGCAATGACCTCAAGCATACCCAGAGTCCCTTATTGGGCAACCAAAACAATTTTTCGCCGCCGGTATATGAGAAAAATCCGGCAGCAGCCGTCAACGCTCGACTGCCCTATTCCAACATGGACTTTACCAAGACCGAATTGAGCCCAGCTGCGCAGACGTTAAAACAGATGGCGGAACAGCATCAACACAAGGTTTTAAGCCTAATGATTAAGCTAGACAAGACAGAAATATAAAAAGACAATATACCAATAAATACCAACAAACAGACCGTTAATAGCTTTCCAAGCATCGTCGCACTATTAACTGTCACAATTGTTAACGTATTTTTTTTTTTTATTCGAAATTCGGAATTTCGGTACCATCGTTTCTAAGAAACCGGAATTTCCCGGTTTTATCGGTACTAGCTAATTGCAGTTTTTTGTGTTTTTGTCAATTAGCAAGCAAGGGATGATTTTCATAAGAAAAATCGATAAAAGATTAGTTTTTTTAATGAAAATAATATCAATTATCAAGTATCAGTAATGAGGAAATAAATGAAGAAAAAATCATAAGTAACTTAAACATCAAAAGAACCGGGAATATCCGGTTCTGAAACCCTAGACGGATATGGTTTTCAAAAGAGCTTACAAACATTGTTGGCTAAACAAGAAGTTTTTTTTATTTATTAAATATATTATCACTATAAAATTTTAAATTAAATTCTCGTTTAATATAATTTTTATTCCAAAATACTTTGTCAAACATATCATACATTATTTTTGATAAATTCTATACAATTAAATCATTTTTCACAAATACTATCGTAAAATAGCATTTAAAACTAGTAAATAAACCAGGACATCTACTTAATATGAAAGACAATATTTTACTGTTTCACCGCTCAGGTGTTCACGGTCTCTCATGTAATGATTATAATGTTAACAAGAGTGAAAGACCACTCGAGACTCATTGAAAACTATAAAAACACAGATACAACCAGCACTCTGTCTCAATTTGCGAACCATATCTCCATTCAGAATCTGGAAATTAGTGAAAATAAATTAGTGTTCTTGTTAGCGTTGAAGTTTGTTCCTCTAATTTTCAATGTAAGTTTTAAGACGTCAAAATTAGTGGTAATTTTCAGTAGTAGCTTAATTCAGAACCTCGCAATTTCATGGAATAAATTGAATAAGTGGTTTCAATTACACTTTACTTTTTATTTACGATCATCACAATTTTTAAAAAACAATCAAAATTAATAGAATATCCTACAACAGCTTGTGTCTTGTGTTAGTCAGTTGTATCCATAGAGAAAGCCTTAAATATTTAGCTATAAAACAATTCACTTTTGATTTATAACCCACAATTTCTCTTGATGGAGGATAATCAAAGGTCAAATACATTTCTCGCATATTTTGAAGTATTAGTGGAAAAATTAAAAGTTTGATAACTTTTTCTATCTATTGAAAATGTCTACCACTTATTTTGACGTTCTGAATGCTTACATTTAAGATTAATTTACCATCCGTCTATAGAAATTGTGGTTAGATATTAAAAAGTTATTGTTTTATAAGCTAAATATAAGCTTATAAAAGCTTTTATATATATATATATAGTTTTTATAAAATAATATTTTAGATTTGTACATTCAATGGATAAAACTGACTACCCCTGCTGCTAGAATATTCTATTAATTTTAATTGTATTTTTAGATATTGAATGATAGTAAACTCTAAATTATAAAGTATAATTGAAACCATTAATTTTTTTTTTTATTATATTTATTTCTGATCACGCAGTAAACCAGTCAATACTAAACAATAGTAGTTTGACATTTTCATTGATCACATTTAATTTAGAAATATTAATTTGTTTAATTTTTACTCTTCCAGAACCAAATGGGACTAAACTTTAATCCGGCCAATGGGGTCCTGGTTTATTACTAGTTTTAAATGCTATTTTACGATAGTATTTGTGAAAAATGCATTCTAATTTTATAGAAATTTGATCAAAATAATGTATGATATGTTGACAAAGTATTTATTGGAATAAATTATATTAAACGAGAATTTAATTTAAAATTTTTATAATTTATATTATTAAAAAAAAAAAACTTCTTGTTTACCGCCAACTGTTTGTAAGCTCTTTTTGAAAACCATATCCCGTCTAGGGTTCAGAACCGGAACTCCCGGTTCTTTTGATGTTTAAGTTACTTATGATTTTTTCTTCATTTATTTCCTCATTACTGATTACTTGATAATTTGATATTATTTTCATTAAAAAACTAATCTTTTATCGTTTTTCTTATGAAAATCATCCCTTGCTTGCTAATTGACAAACTGCATTAGCTAGTACCGATAAAACCGGGAAATTCCGGTTTCTTAGAAACGATGGTACCGAAATTCCGAATTTCGAATAAAAAAAATAGTTAACAATCTGTGACAGTTAATAGTGACGACGATTGCTTTGGAAAGCTATTAAACAGTCTGTTGTTGGTATTATTGGTATATTGTCTTTTTTATATTTCTAGTCTGTCTAGCTAATCATTAGGCTCTACAAACCTTGTGTTGATGCTGTTCCGCCATCTGTTTTAACGTCTGCGCAGCTGGGCTCAATTCGGTCTTGGTAAAGTCCATGTTGGAATAGGGCAGTCGAGCGTTGACGGCTGCTGCCGGATTTTTCTCATATACCGGCGGCGAAAAATTGTTTTGGTTGCCCAATAAGGGACTCTGGGTATGCTTGAGGTCATTGCCAGGCTGCGTGGGTACTGTATCTTTGATATCCTCAGCCTGTAATAACAGAAAGTGTATTAATATACATAATATAATTTTGAAATAAAAAAAAAAAAAAAAAAAACTATTTTCTATTTTTTATAATTTTTTTTTTTTTTTTTTTTTTTTTTTTTAGTTTTTTTCAATTATTTTTTTTTTCGATCGTATGGTATTTTAATCTAAAAGTTTATTGGATATGAACATAGTGAATATGATTTGTCGCCAAGTCGAGCACTGCCGTACCATCCATTTTCTCGAAGGGTGTGGTGACACTTTTGACACCCTGTAGCTTCGTTGTAGATAGAAACAAAAATATTAATTTTCACTACACATAAAGACATAAAATATCTAGTAATTAACCCTCATAGTTTATGAATTATTGCTTGTCAAATTTCTTTAATTTCGTCATTGACTGAAAATTCTAATGGTGCGTTTAGACTTTAGCACGCACGAGCTGAGCGTGCGCGCAAGGCATTCGTTCGCGCTCTCGGCTCCGTTCAAATTAAAACTTATTTTTCGACCAATGAAGTGATCCATTTGTGCGCGTACAGCAGAGTTGTGTTGGCGAAAAGTAATGGACCTGAAATAGTCCACC